GTTGCTTTGTCTGTCTTAGTTTTTTGGTTTTTGTAAGCCATCCAGAGACTTGTAGTATTGGGACAGCGTATAAAAACTTTAAATAAATAAATAAATAGACAGATCTCGGGGCAAGGATTCACATGGATGCTCAGAGCTGGCACATGGATTCTGCACAGAGTTCATAATGTTCACTTGACCTCAGCACCTTTCCTGCAGGGTCCATAATTTCCTCTGGAGCTACCCTCCTATGCTTCGAAATATGCAAACTTCCAGATGCCTTCTTGGGTCCAGTATTTGAGTTCTTGCCTAGGTCTGAGGACAGGACAAGTATTTTCAGCAGTAAAAGATGTATAACATGCCCTTGGTAGTGAACACACATTATTTCCCAGGGGGCTCTGTGTGCAGGGCAAGTAAAGGTAAGGTGGAAATTATACCTGCAGCTTGCGGTTCCTTGCATTTCAAGGATAATTATGTTTGTCCTGCCAGAAAGGCTTCTGGAGAAAAATGTATGTTTTCCAGGCTACGTTTTTTTTTTTTTTGTGGTAGAATAATACTTTGTTTCAGCAGAAAATGCCAATCTTGTAGGGGAAAATCCTTCTACAATGACATTTTTGCTAGAAATCTGCACTCATCAAGAATGCAACCATATGCATAGTCATTAAACATAGACTTCGAAGTTCTAATAAAGTGGTAAGCATCCTTTCCTCAGTGCTGTGTGTGCATACAATTTGCATTCCACAAAATGAACCAGGCTTCGGATAAATTCTCATCGGCACAGCACCCCCGGTTCTGCTGCAGGCTCCCGTCTCCACAGTATAAATCACCAACGACAAGTACATGAGACCTGTCAGGGACTGCTTACTGGGAGGTTTGAAGCAGAAGCCGACTGTGTGTAGAGCATATCAAGAGACAAGGTGTCCTCCTTTGGTCAGCAGGAGCTGCCGAGCTCCTAAAAGTTTCCTCATTAAAGGCATGAATGAAAGATTTTATCACAGCTAGAACCTGAGTCCAGAGATTACATGTTATGTTTATTAATAACTTCTCCCAGGGTTGCCAGATATGTTTTGCAAATATTACTCTTTAGGGAGCAATTATTCCTGCTACTGGGGTACAGTATATTTAATAGGTAATCATGAAGGCATATGTTATAATTCAATGTCCAGTTTTCAGGAGACAGATAATTGACAATTGCTGCATTTAAAAATATGTTTCTGCAATTCAAGGACATAATTTTGAGGTTGTAGTATGTACAAATCAACACTTAGATTTAGGCAACTCCAAACAGCACAATGTCTGTGGGAAACACTGATATTTCCTGCAGCACACATGTAATTTGTGGACCTTATCTACATACATGTGGCATTCAGAAAAGTGTTCACGGATATTTAAAGATGCACTTGCACCTGTGTGTGATGTTTGCACATTATGCATTTGCTCCTGCAATGTGGCTTAAAAAACTGTAATATAGGGAGCTTGTTCTCATTTTGTAATTACTTTAAGTCCTAGATCTATGAGTGTGAATATCTACAGACATGGACAGAGAAAAAAATATTTTACAAGACAAAATCCAACCATATTATGAGTTTCTTAGGTTTCAGCTCAGTGCTTACAAAAAGAACACTCTGATGTCAGGAATCATCCAAAACTCAGGTGCATTGCTGCACTTGCCGCTCTGTCCATCCCTGGGCATCGTTTGCATCCTCACCCAAGCTCAGAGCAGTGTCTGCAGCCTCAGAGGGGAAACTCCAAATCCTTTAGCCTGTGAGATGCTTAAGGTCTATGGAACTGCACCCTTGCCCATGTAACCATCCATATGTACATATCCTCTTCTGTGTTCCCTGCAGTCCAGCATCTGCATTGTCAAATGCAAGTACATTCTCTGTAAACTGCTTTTTCTGCTGAAAGATACTCCAGTTGGCGTGCAGCCTACTGAAGTAAAGATGTAAACATTAACTGGAATCCAATTGGAAGGCACAATTTAGCATCTGTAATATTAAAAAGTAAGGAACTGAGTAAGAGAAATTGGCTGCGTGAAGCGTTTGACCTTTTTGACTCAGGCACCTGGAAAGCCAGATGGAATCATTTAAGATTCAGCCTGGGCAATGAAGGGCATTTGTTTAGAATTGTGATGTAATTGTCCTTTTTTAGCATATACATCTGTAGCTTTCATGGCTACAGGACAAACAAATCTTGAAAATGTCTGCAAAATGCAGTCCCTATGCTCACCAGGGGCTGCTCACATGGGAACTTTGTTTACCAGGCGTGGTTGCATGCCTTGAAATGCTCCGATAAATGATTGTATCTGGATTATACACCCTGATAAAGGTTTGGTGCGCCAGACACGATTCCTTCCCTATCCATTTCAGATCCAGGACTAGCCATCGTACTGCTGCCCATTTCCCAGTTCCATCTTGCCTCAGCCCTGCCCAATCACAGCTCTTCATGCCAAACTTCAGAGTTTTGCCATTAACTCTCGAGTCATTGCGCATCTTTTCTCCCCATACTTTCCCTACCTTTCCGTTCTTGAGTCCCTCCAGTGAGTAACTCCTTAGATATATGCTTCTTTTTTCAAACAAGTCCAAAGAGCAGTATCTGGCTATGCGGATCTCTCATTTCTACACTCCAGTCCCTTTGAAACTGTTATATATTAGGCAGAATGAAGAACGGGGTGCATGAGAGACAGTGTAAATTCAGTGGTGTGAAGAAAATTGGTACGATTGTTTACAAAAAGTTATCTGCTTTGTTTCATCACTCTTTAAAAATGCAGAGTTGCATCCAGTGGATGTGGAAGCATAAGGGAGCTCACACAGCCAACCTTTCTATGCCATCTCTTTCCCTCTGCAGACCCTGCACTTCCCCACACACAAAAGTCTACCCAGAGAGTCAAGGGCCCCTCCTGAATAGTGTGACATGTGCTTTAGAGCATGGCCACAGGTAGCCACGGTTACCTATATCATTTCAGGTAGTCTGAGCAATTGGCTAGAAGAGAACGTTCCGTTCCAGTTGCTCGGTTGCTCCTCTGCTGCCCCATCCCTCCCCTTCCCTACCACCTCCATTGCCGCCGCCGCCGCCTCCTCCCCGCAAACGCTTCAGGCCTCCATGGGACTCAGAGGCATTCTGGAGATAAGAAAGGAAGGGGCCAGAGCTATTGGAGGCCTGAGCTTCCCTCTCCTGTGTGCTCAGCCTTGACCCAGGTACATTAAAATAAAATAAAGCGAAAAATCAAGAGGGCCTGGGGGCCTCTGTGGAGAGTAAGGAAAGTGTCTGGGGCGCAGGAGCATCCGTGGGTGTACAGCAACGGAAACCCCAATTCTAGGATAGTGTTCCCCCATTCGTATGATTCAGACAGCCACATGTACCTCTGTGGCATCAACAGCCACTCTTAAGTCCGATTTACCAGTGCATAGAGCAGCTGCTAACCTCTGTACTTTGTCATGAGGAAAGGTGCCAGAGTTGCTGAACAGGCTGGCGGCGAAGGGTCAAGAATCAACAGTGTCGCTTCTGCCAGTCCACCAGCCACACTGCCGCTGATGTCTTTGACCTCCCCAAAAGGGATGGGGTGCAGGTGTCTTGTTGGCTACCCTGTGAATAAAACCCTTGTTGTCAGATGAATTGTGGGCTTGAGCTCAAGAGTTACAAGGTGTTTACAAAAGGAAAAGCTCCTCGGTGAGTGGGAAGTCATCTGCACACAGGAGGGTGCCTTTGCATGCAATACAATATATCGAATTAAACAAAGGAAGTGGAACCCTTGTTTTCAGATTTCTGAAGAAGATGCGATTGATCAACCTCAGTAACATCATTGGAGTGTCTTCTATTGGGTATAATGCAATTTTGCACAAGCACATCATGCCAGTAAATTATATTACAGTAGAGATTCTGTTTTCTTTCACTCCCTTTGGTATAAGTTGATGATGAGGTCTACATGGCATCGTATAATGCTGCTGTAGGAATGTTTCTGCTCTTGCCAATTTCATGACCTATTTAAAAGCATGCAGTGCAGGAAGGAGGCAGGGGGAGAGAAAAAGCCATTTTGTCTGGCAAGGACATTAGCTACAGGGCAGAAGTCAAGAGAAATATCCTAGAGTTAACATGGGTCATTAGAAAAGAAAGTAGGCTAATATTAGGTTTAATTATTTTTTCCTGAACTCGCTGGAGCTGCTTGAAACCTCACATTATAGTGTAGCTCAACAAAGAAGCATTGTTATTACGGTTTATTGTAGCAATTGGCTATTAATCTGCCTCAGTCAAGATGCTGAGCAAACGCTGTGGCAGCCAGTTGATATTCTATAGTAGATTTTTGTTCCATCTTTTTTAACCAATTACTTAATGCCCCAGTTCCTGCCATAGCATTAAGACTTTGCTATATGGCTGTTCAGCACTCTTCCTATGGAAAATTCTAGTTCAGTTGCTAGGGAGTCCCACATAAAATTTCAAAGGGACTTCAAAAATCTTCATTTTCTTGATCTCTGCTTTCTGAATTTGCTCTTCTGGTTTTGTTGGTTCACAAAGGAAGCTTCTTCCCAAGCCCGCTGGATCACCAAATGCACATAATTTTGAATGCAATAATGTATTTGCAAGTTTATGGAAAGTATATGGAGTCTTGTGGAAATGTACAGGAATGGAAGATTGTCTGCTGTATAGCTCAGCGTGTCAATACTCCCATCTTTTCAATGACTGTGCTGTTTTCATTATCCTAGCCTTCCCAGTCGTCATCGTGATCATCGCATTACATTTCTATACTGCCTGTAGCCAAAGCTGTCTGGGCAGCTCACAACATGCAAGTCACCCATCCAGATTTCAACCAGGCCTGACCCTGCTTAGCTTCCAAGATTAGCAGGATCAGGCACTTCAGGCTATAAGGAAACAATAATTGTCTTACATGAACCAGGTCACTGCCTCAATTGAGTCAAGCTTCTGATATCAGATTGAAACTCATTCACATAATTTGTTCTTCAAATGTCTCACTTCAGTATCGCAGAAATCACAGTGCGCTAATACGTATTTTCTCTCCTGCTTAGGTTTTGAACTTGGCTTTGCTATGTCAAGTCCCAATGCTCTGGTGTGCTGGGAAGCTCAGTTTGGCGACTTTCACAACACAGCACAGTGCATCATAGACCAATTTATCAGCTCAGGACAGGCCAAATGGGTTCGTCACAATGGGATCATTCTGCTTTTGCCACACGGAATGGAAGGAATGGTAGGGTTTCTATTGGGTGTTCCATGTGTAGAAACTAACCAGTTCCACAGTTAGAGAAGTGTAATGCATCTTTGTGAAAAATGGAGACTTCCTTGTTTCTTTATTTAAATAAGATTAGTTTTGTGTCAGTAGATGCTGTATAAGGAATAATCATGTAGTGACTTCAGGAGCATACCTTTAAGGGGTTTAGGCTACAGTCCTGCCTATTTGGGAATAAATTCCACTGATATCAAGAGGCTTTACTTCTGAGTAATGAGATGCTCAAGTATAATATGCTCCATTCATGGAATAAACACATGCTGTAGTTGGCTGTCTACTGACTGCTTGAACCTGTGTCAAAAATGGTAATGATAAACATTACAACTTCTAGGCACACAATCATTTTTGCCAAAGAAAGCTAGTTCAATTATATTCCAGGTGGAATGTCATGAACAGCTGAACATTCTAACATGTGTAGCACCCTGAATGCCCGGAAGAATACTGGATACCTGATTTCTTTCTCCTGTGACGTTACAGCTGCAGCCTTCTGTCAGTTTCCATACAGTTCATTCAAACTCAGATGCACAAATGCTGTGTCTCTTTAGAGTAACATTTTCCACTAGTGCAAACCTTAGTGCTAGGAATTGTGGCCTCGTGGGTGGCACTGTGCTGGAGAGGATGGCAGATGAATCTCATGGCCTGATTCCCAATTCTTCATAGGCACCTAAACTTGTTTCCTCCAACCATGTGCTTTTCAGGGGCCGGAGCATTCTTCAGCCAGGCCAGAGAGGTTCCTTCAGATGAGTAATGAAGATCCCGATGCCTTCCCAGTAAGTAGATCTGTTATTTTTCCTCCCCACAGAGCCCTCTTTCTTCAGCTGCCAGATCATTCTTCTGTGCAGCATTACCTTTGGGACATCTATTTTAACCCTCTATCAATAGAAAACTTGACTCTAGCAATCTGATTCTGGGGTCCCATGTACCCCAAGGAAGCCTTACAAACTTCTAGTGCCATGTATCTTTTGAATGTCTTTTTTGAGACCTCTCCCTTTCCAGTAGAAGTACTCCCTTACCAGTACTCCCTTACCAGTAACTCACAATACAAAGTACAACAACCTAAAGAAATAATATGTGGGGCTTAACTTGATTCCCTAGACTATCTGGCTGGCACTTTGTCTAGGCTCGGTCTAGGGTTTGAGCAATTCACAGCCTTGGTCTCTTAGGAAGAGACATGCTTTGAGATGTTCACTGCATCATGGGTTGTTTGGTTTCCATGAAATGAAAAATGTTTAAGCAACCCAAATGTACCATATTTGGGGGTGCAGCAAACACTGGCCACTGTTTGACCATCTTAGGAAGCAGTGCTTTTTTTTTTTTGTCATAGAATGCACCGGAACAGAGTTCCGGCACCTTTTTTCGACAAATTTTCCAAGTTTTAAAAATAACTTTTGAAAATTTGATGTTTGGTCCACGTGGATTTGAATCGCCCTGTCGAGTGTAGCAGGTCAGCGGCAAAATCATTAAAACGGTGCATGCGGGCTGCTTGTGTGTCGAGTCCAATGCATGCGTACTTTGTCCACACTGGTTGTGATGGCACTGCTTATCTTGTGGCACTGCTTGGCTTGTGATTGGTCGTGTGCTGAGTGCTTACTGCATGCGGTGACCGTGATGTTTCGTTACACAACTGACGCGTGAGGGTGTGTGTACAGTGATGGACTACATGTGAAAGGTAAATAATTTCATGAGTTCCGGCACCTTTTCTCTTACAAAAAAAGCACTGTGAGGAAGTATATGTAGAGGCCATCTGTTCACAGGGTCCACACCAACAGTAGGTTTATTAGAATAAAGAATCAGTAACTTTTGAACAAACTGATAAGCCATGGTGTGTTGTGTTTTGTTTTTGGCTGGGTCAAAAAGCAGGGTTTAACTAGAAGAAAATTACTTGAACAATTTGGTTTTGTAGAAGAGTTTTAAAAACTTGTAGGGGTTCTTTTGATCTTGATCACATTTGGCGCGGCTGCAAAGGGAAGCGAATGAGTTGGCTACTGTGGAAATAGATGAAATATTGTGTGCTTGTTTTCAACCTGTATACAAAATTGGCAAAAAAAGGCACGAGGAGTACAAGTTTAAACATTTTGCATGGTCACTGGAACCCCTCGGATCATCTTACCTGGTTTTGGTTTTCTTAGTCATTTTGACTGAAGGCACCATTGAACCCCGTCTTCTCCTTGACCTTGCCTAGTACAGGCAGGGAGGTATTTGACTCTGAAAGAATGCAGAGAAGCTAAACGAGCTCTTGAGAGGTACTGCCATTGAGTGAGTTCATCACGTGCACTACATCCTGCCTCTTCAACCTTGCATGCTCAAACATGGTTTACAGAGGTAATGCTTACAGAAGATGCTGCTGTATGGTGTAGTGGTTAGGTGCACAGGCCTGGGACTCAGGCAGTCCTGGTTCTAGTCCCTTGCGACTTTGGGCCAGTCAGAGCCTCTCAGCCCAAAGCTACCTCACGTTGGTTGTTGTTGTGAGGATAAGATGGAGAGAAGGAGCAGATCTCCTGAATTTCTGGACTAGTAGGTTTTCATAGCACAGAAACAGACCATTTTCTTTTTTTAAATATATATATCTATATCTATATCTATATCTATATCTATATCTATATCTATATCTATATATCATTCATTCATTCATTCATTCATTCATTCAATTTATATCCTGCCTTTTTCCTACAAAGGGCTCAAGGTAGCTTACATCATTCTCCTCCTCCATCTTATCCCCACAACAACCACCCTGTGAGGGAGGTTGGGCTGAGAGTCTGTGAACTGGCGCAAGGTCACCCAGTGGGCTCCATGGCTGAGCAGGGACTAGAACCCAGGCCCCCTGAGTCCCAGTCCCATGCTCTTAACCACTGCACCACACTGGCTCTCATTAATAAATGATTCACTGTTTTATTGTCAATATTAATTATGTGAATGTATTGCATATATATTGAAAAGAAAAGAGAATGAAAGGAGGAGGAGAATTATGTAGGCTGTCTTGACTTGGTTGACAGGAAAAAAGAAAGATATAAATATAGTAGTAGTAGTAGTAGTAATAATTGCAATAAATTTACCTACCTAGTCAGGGTTGTAATAGAAAATGACTCTTGAAAGGATGCATTTCACATGCTGCAGTAGAACAGCTTTGTTACAATACATGTTTCCAGGTCTGTCCTAATCTTTTTTGTTCCCGCTAAAATAGAAAAGAACGGGGAAATGAACTAGATATAGCAATGGTTTAAAAATAATGGCTGACTTTCTATTATCTCTCATCTGTCCCTGTTCAGCAATATGATGAAGATTTCGAAGTTTCCCAGCTATATGATTGCAACTGGATTGTGGTAAACTGTTCAACTCCGGCCAGTTACTTCCACGTCCTCAGAAGGCAGATTTTGTTGCCATTTAGGAAGCCTGTAAGTGGTTTGGGGTACACCCTCATGCCTGCTGCTGCAGCAGGAATTTGTTTGTTTGCTTAAGTTATTTGTATGCTGTCCTTTGTGAGAGCCTCAGGACAGCTTAGACAAATAAAATTCCAGTACATAACAGTGTAACATAAATAAATTAACGACCCACTCTGGCTGCAATTAAAATATGGTAATAAAATTCAATATTAAAACTTGTTAAAATATTGATTAAATAAAAAGGTCTTAACCTGGCACCAAAAAACATATAATGATGGCACCAGGCAGACCTCTCTGGGGAGCGCATTCCATAGATGGGGCGCCACCACAGAGAAGGCCCTCCTCCGGGTACTCTGTCTCCTAATGTCTTTCACAGAGGTTCCCGGAAGAGGGCATCTGCTGTCAATCTCGGGGCGGGAGGGCAAATAGGGAAGAAGGCGCTCCTTTAGGTATCCTGGTCCCAAGCTGTTTAGGGCTTTAGAGGTAATAACCAGCACCTTGAATAGAGCCCGGACTTCGATGGGAAGCCAATAGAGCTGATAGAGGACTGGGGTTATATGAGAATAATCAGAGAATAATCCCTGTGGTTCCCAGCATTCTGGCCAGGAGTTTCTGCACATTTTTCTGTCCATGCATAGTACTGCTCCCTAGGTGTGCTGTGATGAAGATACTGTAGTATGTTCCATGTGACGGAGTGATGCATGGACGATGGGAGACCAGAAATGATTGATGTGCTTATTTACCTTGCAAAAATTGTCTCAATATCCTTTATGGGCTGCCCTGTGCATGTTTTGTTTATTTTTCTTATTTAAACCATTTTGAAGCTGCTTTCAAAGTGATTTTAACCAGGTGATTGGGGCGCTTGTTGCAACGAGTCAAAATCTAATGAATGAGGAAGTCATTTAATTTGTTCACCTCATTCTTTTATTCAGCTCTCTATTGCATTCCTGTTTCTCAATCATGAAAGTCCTAGAATAAATTTCTGAAGTTATTCTGAGTGTTCTAGATTTAAGTTTCTTGACATAAACACTCAGGCTTTTTCATTGTAGGTAATCACTGAATTGCTTTTGCCTTGATTTATGCAACACATTTTTTATTTATCCGGAAGGTACTGCACTTTCCAGAAACATCTAATGGGACAGCATTTGTTAATGTAATTAGAATTAAATCCTTTAGATGGCGTGCTTCCACTCTAGTTCATCTCCATGCAGTGTACCAACCGTTTTGTTGTATACTGTTCAGCGTTCTTCTCTGCGTTTGAAGTAATGTGCCTGAATGTTCAGAATAATGACAAGTTCTAATACTGGCCATTTCACAGCTTATTATCTTCACTCCGAAGTCATTGCTGAGACACCCTGAAGCAAAATCCAGCTTTGACGAAATGGTGTCAGGTAGGCTCACTGGCATATGTTCTTTCATTTTACAAGCATCTTATTCCTTCTCTCCCTTAAAACATCACTTCCCTTGGTATATTATTTTACATTAAAGGGCTTTCCTTTGCAACATGAGACACAACGATGGCAACAGACTTCTCCTGCTCCTCCCATTGCATTTATATCCCACTTTTATCCTCTTGCCTGGAACCCAAAGCAGCTTACCAGGTTCTCTGCCTCTCCATCCTATGCCCAAACAGCAGCCCTGAGAGGCAGGTTGGGCTGAGAGTCTGTGACTGACGCAGGGTCACTCAATCAGGCTTTGTGGCTGAACGGGGACTAGAACCCGGATGGCCTGAGTCCCAGACCCACACCATATGGGCCTAACCTCTACACCATATGGGCTCTACTTGGCTTCCACAGCCTCTGCTTGCAATCAACCAGTCCCTTTCTCTGGATATACCTCTCCCTGCCTTCTGCTCACCACCATCACCTTTAGTCCCTTCTCTCTCGCCTAAATGTATGTACTTGCTTTATTTGTGGACATTTATACACTCCCTTACCTGCTCCACATTTGTCAAGATGGCATGCAGCAATTTCAAACAATACTGCTCTGCAACATAAAAGCAATAAAACAGGCAGACATTAAAAATGACAATCTTTAGAAGGCCAGTTTGGAAAAAGGCTTCATTGCACCCATTCTAAAAGTAAGGAGAGGGGAGGCCAGTCATGGTTCCAGGGGGAGTGCATTCCAAAGATTGGGGGCAATGTAGGAAATTTTTTTGATAATATAAGATGATTAAAAATGTCACAATTTAAAAGCCCTGTGGCTCATTACTCAGGTGTATTTGCTAGAAAACTTTACAACTAAAGTTCACACATTTGCTATGTGCTGTCTTTTTAATAACTTACCTGATTAATTTTTAAAAATACTTCCACACGCAACAAGATCAGACCAAGACCACAGGCATTTTAAAGGAAATGCTGAGAGAAAAGGCCCCAGTAAGATAAATGGGGATCTTTATAAAGCAAACCTATGGCCACCTAGACAGCATCCAGGGGATGCTAGTTTTTTTGGGTTCCCAGATTTGACTTCCAGCCTCAGATTTACATTCTGATTCCGGGAGCATCAGCATAACAGTGTTCCATGCACTTCGGTGTCTAGTCATGCCGGCCGCATGACCACGGAGACCGTCTGCAGACAAACGCTGGCTCCCTCGGCTAGGAAACGGGGATGAGCACCGCCCCCTAGAGTCTGGCATGCCTGGACTTCACGTCAAGGGGAAACCTTTACCTTTACTTTCCCGTAGCCCTCTCACAGCCAGTACAGAAAGAACCATGCCAGCTGCTTCTCTGAAGCTGAGAAATCAGCTGCATAGAGGGAGCGAAGGGGCATCCTGGGGGCTGGGCAGAGGAGGAGACTGGGCCACCCAAGCAAGACTCCATTCTTCCTTCCCTCTGCAGTGCTGCAGCCAGATGGTCAAAACGAGCCATCGCGCTGAGGCTCGTGTCGGACAGGAGGTGTGGGGTGGCCCTCGGCCCACTCTGCACTGGGTGCCTGCAAGTCCAGAGGCTGATGGCCATCAAGGGGGCAGGTCAACCTGATTCAGCCCTTACCCTTCTCGGACTTGCTTGTGAGTAGGTAGAGACGAGGACTTAAAAATCTCTTCTTCTGCTGACAAAAATAATAAATAAGCCTCTGTTGTGAGATGTGTGCTCAAATCCTGGGACATTTCAAGCTCCAGAACGTAGCCAAGGGCATCTGGCTTGGCACGCAGGGCAGACAATTGTCTAGTCTAGGCATAGACATTCCACAGTTCAGGGACTCATTTGAATCCCGAAAGGCTTCCTGTCTCTCCGCCATCATCACAATCATACTCATAAAATCAATAAACATTGACAACAAAAGCAGGATTAAACAGTGCACTTGGATCTCAAAAAAGCAGGTTTAGCAGCACACCCAGACTGGGAACCTCATCTTGGGGGAGCGCAACCCCACAGAGAATGGGCCTAACATCATTTCTATAGAAAATCTGCCTTTGCAAATAATCAAGGAACATACAAGACTGTGCAGAGGGAGGGCTTCATGAGAACACTGAGGGATATTGGAAGACTATAATTGTCATCGCTTCCTTTATGAAGGATGGGTCTCACCATCGAACTAAATGCCTTTTAGAAAAGCAGCTTCATTGTGTCTCTAGGTACCAGCTTCAGGCGTGTGATTCCTGAAGAAAATGCTGCAGCTGAAAGTCCTGGAGAGGTGAAACGGGTGATTTTCTGCACAGGGAAGGTGTATTATGATCTTGTCAGAGAGAGGAAAAACCAGGATTTAGAGAAGGAGGTGGCGATAACCAGACTGGAACAGGTAAAGCAGAGATGTTAGAGGATGACGAGAACTGGTTGTGTAAACCCTTTTAAATGTGCCTGCCAGTGAAATGTGGACACCCATTAGATATATTAAGGTATTTTCTCACAAAATCCCCACTTTTTAAAACATAGCTTATATGATGGTTTTTTTGGTGTAATTTTGAGTTTAGATCTGTGTGACAAAATTTGAGGAGCTACAAAATGTGAAGGAAACTGATCAGATCTGCTCCATGCACTTCTCCAAGAGATGCCGATGCAGTCTGCCTGCAGAACATGATTTTTGCTCTACTGGGGGAAAATATGGGTTGGATGCAGCACTAGGAGCACCTGTTGTCATACATGGAGTTTCTGCACCTCAGAATGTTTTCTTGTTTCTCTTCTAGATCTCCCCTTTTCCATTTGACTTGTTAAAAGAAGAAATTGAGAAGTATGCGAAAGCCGATCTTGTCTGGTGTCAGGAAGAGCACAAGAACATCGGCTATTATGACTATGTCAAACCTCGTTTCCGCACCATTGTGAACCACACGCGGCCAATATGGTAAGGATGATCTCTTTTGGTTTTCTCGTAATTGAAAGGTTGGCTTGCCCTGTTTGCATTTGGGAAGTTGGAGATGAGCTACTGACCTTTCTATCTACACTTCCCAAATGAGCCATTATTGCTTTGACTGGCCGTGGTTCCAATAGCAGGCTTTTCTGGGCCTGCCGAGATGCTTTAAACGGAAATCTTAAATTTAAACGACATTTTAATTGTTAAAAATATTTGCTTATTTATCTGGCCAGGGCGACTTCTTTTATATTGTTATTTATTTTATATTGTTAATTTTATATTGTTATTTTTGTATTTTATTGTGTTGTAAGCTGCCCCGAGGCTTCGGCAAGGGGCGGCATAGAAATGTTTTAATAAATAAATAAATAAATAAATAAATAAATAAATAAATAAATAAATAAATTCTGGAACCTGGTGCATGCTGAGTCCTGGAACCTGAAATCTGGGATTAAATCTGGAACTTGGTGCATGCTGAGTACTGCCTACTAGTGAGCAAAGTTCCCATGAAGCCTTAAGGTGCTGCTGCACTTTAACGATGTAGTTGCTTAAATTACTAGTCTTTTGTCCCGTGAAAGAAATAGAAGTCCATCAGAAAGTATCTCAGAGATGCCAAAGAAAGATGAGGAAGTATGTGCTGAGAACTGGTTGTCTCAGTGTAGTGAAAGCAGCTTAACAAGATGGGATGGCCAAGCAAACTTTTACCACTTTAAGAAGTGGCTAACACAAGGGAGTAGGTCACACCTGAACTATCCTATGTTGATCCTCCTTCCAGTAGGTCCATAACTCATTTCGTGTCTCTTCGCTCTCAAGGTATGTTGGCCGGGAACCTGCTGCTGCTCCAGCAACTGGCAACAAGAACACTCATCTGGTGTCGCTCAGAAGATTTTTGGACACAGCTTTCAACCTGGAAGCTTTTGAAGGAAAGATGTTTTGAATGTAATACCATTCTGAACATCGAGCATCCTGGGAGAAGATAGCATTAAGGTTGGGTTGAACGGGAACAATAAGGAAATAAAGTACATTCTTGTCGAATGTTATTTTTTAAATAGCCTGGATGTTGAACAGAAGCTCAAACACAGAATTTTCCTGTATGATTATTCCAATCAATACTGGCTTTTTGGAATGTTTTTCTCTGCCACACCCACTTTACAGGTTCTTGTGTGGATAAAATGGAAAAGAGGACAGTGTATACTGTTCTGAGCCACTTGAAGGAAGAACAGAATCAAAATGTAATAGATATCCGCCTATCTATTAGTGAGATGTTAGTGAGATGATATATCTCATGGGAATCCACTTAGGAAATAAATGTATACCCACAGCCTACAGGTATAAATTAAAACACGTCAGCTACATTTCCTCTCTAAAGTAAGCAATGCTTTGCTCATGCAGCTGTTGAATTTTGGCTTCTTTTGCCTCTAGGCCCCAGAGCTGGAAATCAAAGGGTACACCCCCATCTCCCTTTTAACAGTCCCTTCTCAAACCTATTTAGTCTGCATTCTTGACAGATTTGCTTAGAATGATGAATACAGCAACAACTAGGACCCTAGAAATATACTATTCCTGCTGTCCATTTGGGACTGGGACAAGTTAGTGGAAGAATGTTAAGTACTAAGCCTGATCCCTAGTCCCACTAGTACTTGAGCCTGACGTATTAATTGTGTCACAGGTGGAGTGATATCACTTTATTTCAGCACGAATTCCCTTCTATGGACTATGACGGTACTTCCTCACTGGTGAGAAATAGCTGATCCTTCTGTATCTCATGCTGGGGTCCCTCGGTCCTTTCCTGCTGGCTCCAACAGCAAGAAAGCCTGCTTCTCTATTTACACACCACAAGCCATGTTCAGATCAGTCTTCCACAGGCCGATGCCCTCCAGATGTTTTGGACAAGAGCTCCCGCCATTCTTAACTGTTAACCACTAACCATTTGCTGATGAGGACTGAAGTCCAAAATATATCAAGGACACCAAATGGGGAAGACTGATTTAGGTAATTCATACAACAAGCCTCAGATGTGGTGCTAGTTGTTGTGTTCTGATCTATTTGGAGAGTTCTACTTGAATTCCTTACTGTTGCAGACTAGTGGCAATAACCCATTCGGAGTCTGGGTTTATTAATTGGATTCTCCAAACATGACCTGGTTTGCTAGAACCCATTTGTTCTACTCCAATGGGAAGTAGAATCATTTGGAATTTGCAGATACTTGCTTGCTTTACCTTCATTTCACTCTGAATTGAGATTAGTTAAATAATTAAAACGACAGCCTTGTGTTCAGTTACCTGGAAATGAACACCCCTGAATACTGTGAAACTTCTGAATTAACATTCTTAGGGATTGTGTTGCAAGTTTTAAGTGAGATCCTTCCCCCCCTGCTCCTCCTCATTTTTAATAAATAAGAATTTCAAAGAGAAAGACTGGGTACAGTTTAAATAATAATAGGTCTATATATTTTGCTCTGTTTTTACAAGGAAGGCCATCTCAGTATAACTTGAATTATTTTCTGTCTCCTTTTCAGTGATAAATGTTCTTGTGTCCGGGAACGCACAAATTTAGAGAGCAAAATTAACATAGACATAAAAGTGGGCAATGGCAGGCTTCCATTTTCATTGTTGTTTGTGGACTGTAGCATTATATTTTGAAAAATAAATTCGATCCGAGAATGTTAAAAAAATGGTGATACATAAAGTCTGTTTTCTTTATGGAGGTTTTATGACAGCTTCTCCTTTGGGGACTGGCATTAGCCTTCCATCCCTGAAAGTGCTGGCACCCCCTGGATCTTCTTTCCTGTAGCTTTTTGTTGCTCTGCCATCTCTGTATTTTGATGTGAAGGCCTAGAATGCAATACTGTGAAAGGGACCGGGCAACTGGGCTACAGTTTCTTGAACAAACTCATTTTCCCCAAAAGGTTGATTGGATTAGAGTAAAGGGAAAGACCCGCTACCTAACTTCCTGATCCCCCCTCTCTGGCTCAAGTCCTTGCATGCAAGTTATTGCTCTGAATCGGAAATCTGTGTGTTGCCTGCCCACCAGCCTGTCTTCCTTCTTCTACCCACAGCTCTGTTTATGGGCACGTGCACGTGGCAGGCGGACTCACCCTGCCAACAAGCTACACGGTGTGGGCTGTTTGGGAACCCACACTGGGCTCAGCATGAGTTGCTGAATCCCTTCCCCCATGGTTCTCTCAGGGGTATCCAAGGCGACTCCGCAGCAGGATCTCTCCTTGCTCACTGCTGAGACTTTTGGGCTTGCAGTGACTTTTCTCTGCCTTTTCCCTTTGTACCTGAAGAGACTGCAAAGAGGTTTGTTTATTTATTTTTTACTTTGCTTCCCTCTGACAAAAGTATCTCTCCCTGTCACAAGAGCCTAGGAAGCTATGTGAACAACTCAACTGTAAAAGGAAACCAAAATTTTGACAGCTATCAAAACTTTCCACTCCTGTGACAGGCAGCAGTTGGCATTTCTCCACCTTCCCAAGCACCCACCCTCATGGGAAAAGGAGGAAAATGTAGATGAAGACTTAAATTAAGCAGGGGGGAAGAAAGGATCTCATTGTATTGGCCATCCCCTTTCATGAGAAAAGATCACTCGTGATGCTGCTTTCCTTCACTAGTTGACAGTCTCTCTGGGTCAGTGTTGGTAGGGAGGGCCTGCTGCCGTCCAGAAGACATTGTCAGGCAAGGCTTTCTCTTTCAGATCCATGAAGACATGCACCTCTGCACTTGTGCTAGTCTGACAATGCATGTGGGTACGAAATATTTGAAAACATTGGCAGTGCGATTTCTGTTCAGGTAGCAAAGCAGGGACAGTTTCCTTGACGCGCCACTTCATTGGAGGGGGTGTCAGCTTGGACATTGCGAAAATGGAAGGGCTTGTGGTCATGGTGAGGGGCTGCTGAGCAGGGAACAGTTGCTCCACCTTGCCTCTTGGGCATCCCTGGGGTGCCTGGGACTGACCGTGTCCTGGGCTAGTTCCCACAGTTAGGGTGGGGAGCGGTTGCTGCTCTCTGCATCCGATCATTGTGGTCAGTCTCCTGGGTTTGGATGGCATGAACCTCTTGCATGGGTCATCTTTTTTGTTTAGCCAAGTGGCTTGGTTGGCCTGCTGAGTTGCTGCATCCAGGTTGAGTCTGCAGAGCAAGCCATCATGGGCAAGCATGCCCTAAACAAGGTGTGGCTTGCTCAGGGTGGCTTATTAGCCAAATGTAAGCCACCTGGACAGACCCATCCCAGGTTCAGGCAACACGCTAAGCCGTGATGGCTTTGAGGCTACGTGTCAGGCAAACCCAGTCGAGATAAGAGCTATGGCATCTCAAGCTTGGAAATAACTGCAGGGCATTTTGGCATGCTGAGACAGAAGGATGGATGATGTACCATCCAAGCAACAGGTAAGCTCACAGAAAAAACTTGATGACTAAAGACGGAACAGCAATGAATATAAATGAATTCCAGTAGCGGTGGAGAAGAAAATGAAACAATTGCAGAAAGCATTACCAAGGCTCTAACACACACTTCTGCTTAAACAAAACACCCAGCTAGTTGCATTCATTTGTCAGTTATGGTAAGCCATTGTCTTTCCAAATCCTTACCAACAATTTGGCTCAATTGTGCAATGAAATTCAACATTTTAATACCTCAAGCTTACTAACACCTTCCCCTAAAGATCTCTATATTACTGGGTGTTGCCAGACAATTTGTAGACCACAATTAGACACAGTCTGCTGATTAGCATAAGGAAATATCCTCATGAAGCATTAGATGATCAAGAGGGCTGGAGGATAGTTGAAAAAGTGCTTAGAAGGAAATGTTTTAAAAATGAATATAGCCTATTTTTCCCTGATAAAACTTCTACATTAGCCTGTGTCTTCTTGTAACCTTTCTGACTCTTCCTGAAACTGACTCATTTGCTTTTTATTTCATTTTTTTTAGCATTGTGGCTTTCCTTCCTAAAAAGGAACAAAAAGCACTAGCCTACAAATGCACAAAAAGGAAATAAATGTAGAGAAGTCAAATACTTTATGAAATATCTTGCTTTTAGCTGGAAAGCTATCTTCTATCAATCGTGCCTCAGTAGGTTTGTGACTAATATAAATAAATATAATGAACACATCTATAAAAGGTATATAAAATCATTTGTCAATGATATAAAATTAATAATGAAATTTTAAGAGCAACCACATAGTGTTTGTTTATTAATCTGATTTATAGCTTGTCTTTCTATCAAGGAATTGGTAGAAACCATTCAAAATTTTTTTTAAAGTACTAGTAAATGGAAGGCATCTAGCTCACAGTGGGTTCAGAGAATTGAACCTGGAAAATACGAAGTAACTAGGAGCACACACACACAGTATTTGTTATGTGACACTAGTCATCTCTGACCTGTGGTGACCATATGAATGGATATGGTCAGCTCTTGTGACCTCCATTCATCTCACAATTGGTCTTCCTCTTCCATCTTCAACTTTTCTTAGTATGATAGTTTCCTCCAGTAAATCTTACCTTCTCGTGATGTGAAATTTTGTACTTGCAAACTATGAGTGGTAAGTGCCACAAAGATTATGATTAATCTGTAAAAAGGAAAAACAAAAATGAAGAAACAAAAAGCAGTGACATTTGATGGCACTCCAATGCTTACGGTGCTGAGGGACTTTGGCTCTGTGCCATGGCAACTTTGCCATGGAGTTCCACAGGGCTCCATTTTGTCCCCCTTGCTGTTTAATATCTACATGAAACCGTTGGGAGAGGTCATCAGGAGGTTTGGGCTGCGGAGTCATCAGTATGCTGATGACACCCAGCTCTACCTTTCTTTTTCAGCTAACCCAGGTGAGGCAGTGGGTGTGCTGAACCAGTGCCTGACCAAGGTAATGGGCTGGATGAGGGCCAATAAACTGAAGCTCAATCCAGACGGAGATTCTGTTGGTGGGTGATATGAGCTCCTGGGTAGGTGACTTGGGCCTTGCCCTGGATGGGGTTGCACTCCCTATAAAGGACAGGGTCTGCAGCTTGGGAGTGCTCCTTGACCTGGAGCTGTTCTTGGAAGCCCAAGTGACAGTGGTGGCAAGGAGCGATTTCCTTCAGCTTTGGCTAATCCATCAGCTGCGTCTCTACCTGGAGGAAGATTGCCTAGCAACAGTGACACATGCATTGGTTACTTCCCAGTTGGATTTCTGCAACATGCTTTACGTGGGGCTGCCCTTGAAGACAGTCCGGATACTTCAGATGGTGCAAAACAGAGCTGTCAGGATGCTGACGGGGACTGGGCATTATTCTCACATAACCCCAGTCCTCTATCAGCTCCACTGGCTTCCCATCAAAGTCCAGGCTCAATTCAAGGTGCTGGTTATTACATATAAAGCCCTAAACAGCTTGGGACCTGGATACCTTCTTCCCTATTTGCCCTTCCTATTTGGGAACCCTCTGTGAAAGATATTAGGAGACAGAGTACCTGGAGGAGGACCTTCTCTGCGGTGGCACCCCGTCTATGGAATGCGCTCCCCAGAGAGGTCTGCCTGGCGCCGTCATCATTTTGGCACCAGGTTAAGACCTTTTTATTTGATCAGCATTTTAATAAGTTTTAATATTGTATGTTTACCATTATATTTTAAACGCAGCCAGAGTGGGTCGATAATTTCTTTATGTTTGGTGATATGTGTATTTTATCTTTGTGAGCCATCCTGAGGCTTTTGCAAAGGATGGCATATAAATATCCTAAATAAATAAATAAATGTCTAAAGGTGCCTTCAACACAGAACTTCTCAAACAGGAGTAAATATTCTACTAAGAAATAAGTGAGCAGTTGCTCTGTCAGCATGCTATTTTGTAAACCTTTCCTTCTCTCGAATGCAAACTCTGTCTCTGTGAAACATGTGGGCTTCTGTCCCATCCACCCCACTCCTGCCACTTGGAGCAATTTGTAGTTGGTGAAATCAGGAATATTTTGCAAGTTTCTGACTTGTACAAAGAAAATAGTTGGCATTATCGTGTTATTCTTCCACAAGGATCTCTCGATCATTGATTGTGGCACCTCTGCAGCACAGCTGGTGAACCTCTAAGTGAGCCCTTCCCACCTCCACTCCCTGCGAACCGAGGACTGTGGGAAGTGGAGGAAAGGCACTTAGCAATACGCTTTCTTCAGTGATGAAGCATTCTTCAGATCCATTTCGGTGATGAGAAATGTGCCTTAATGAGGCAATTAGTCAAGACATAAAAGCTGTAAAGCAATTTAATTAATACCACTCCTGGTACACTTTAGGGCATCTCTTGGAGCTCTGAGTGAACAATATTGCTCTGCCATTGTCTAGGCTTGGTTAAGGAAGATTTCTTTGAAGCATGACAGGATGTACTGCAAACAGAGCCAGTTACAGTGGCTAGAATATTTTTTTTAAAATAAGTTTTCTTCTAAGTAATCCTAACACACACACACACACACACACACACACACACAACTAAAAACAACATCAGTCATCGGAAACATTGGACCTACTGGGTCAGCCCCCACAGTGGCTAGAATATTGAGCTTCACCAGAAAAGACCTAGACTGTGTCCAATGTTTAACTCAAGTCCCATTCATTTCAGTGGGTCTGCTCTTTGTTGTTGTTGTTCAGTCGCAAAGTCATGCCCGACTCCTCATGACCCCATGGACAACATTCCTCCAGGTTCTCCTGTCCTCCACCATCCCCTGGAGTCCACGCAGGCCACATCCACTGCCCCGGTGGCCCCATCCAGCCACCTCAACCTCTGCCTTCCCCTTCTTCTTTTGTCTTCAATCATTCCCAGCATCAGGGTCTTTTCCAGTGAGTCCTTCCTTCTCATTAGGTGACCAAAGGATTTGAGTTTCATCTTCAGTATCTGGCCTTCTAAAGAGCAGTCAGGGTTGATCTCCTCTAAGACTGACTGGTTTGATCTCCTTGCAGTCCAAGGGACTCACAGGAGTCTCCTCCAGCACCACAATTCAAAGGCCTCAATTCTTCAGCACTCAATTTTCCTTATGGTCCAACTCTCACAGCCATACATTGCAACTGGGAAAACCATAGCCTTGACTATACACACTTTTGTTGACAGGGTGATGTCTCTGCTTTTTAGTATGCTGTTTAGATCTGCCATAGCTTTCCTCCCCAGGAGCAAGCCTCTTAATTTCTTGGCTGCAGTCACTAGGACTGATATTAGATTACACATTGGGTCAAATCCACACTTGGGCTCCCTGGGTGTGGTAGATTAGATTTCCTCTCAGTCTAACCCACTTCATGGCAGGAAAAGGGCCACTCACTTGCTCTGAGCTTTTTGGAAGGTGGGTGGGATAACAAAGAATGGATCAGACTGTCACCCATGAGATTTGATCGTCAATGTTTCTCCTCTCTTGCCCAAAATGCTGCCACAGAATCACCCGCTGGGCACAGACACTGTGAAAAACACTTTTCAGTCAGTATTATAAAATTAGTTAGGAGGCTTAAAAAGAAATCTATAAAGCAGTGACATCTATACAGCAACATAGTCTTTAAAGATCCTCTTTATTTGTTAGGTGTTAAGATATGCTGTCATATCACGCTAAGATTGACCAGAAAATCGAGGCCCATGATTGTGTGGCATGTTGATGGGGGGTAAAAAAAGGATAAGGCTCCTTCTTCAGTAGGCTTTTAGTACTGCTTCTCTGGCTTGCTGGCAAAGTGGGTCCAACTGGCCATCACCTCCTGTGCAAGAGACACAGAGAGACGGAAAACACCAAGTAACTTACTCTATTTTTAGAAACAAAGGAATCCCTGTGCACAAAGAGGTTCCATTTCACCCTGTTTCTGCTTACCAAAATCCAAGTCAGTGATGTTGCACTGAAAGACAAGTTCTCCATTCACTATGAGCTGCACATCATTCCAATCTGGAATTTCTTCTAGAATTATCTGATGCCCGTCTGCTTTCAGGACGGCTGCAGAGGAGCAGTAGGCATGTAGCATTACTAAAAGCCAAAGCTGTTGAATTCCAGCATCACATTGTCCACTGAGCAACTTCAGTTGCCCTTTAGCTGCTCTTTTCAAGTTTGTTTTCGGTTGTTTTTCTGGTCCCTTTGGGTTTATTTAAATACTTCAGTAATACCTCTTTGTGAAAATTATGCATAATAGAAACAATGCTGTATCCATCTACACTATCTAATGTCTCTGCAAAATAATACTCTAAATGGGCAATGAACACATTATGAAACTTAAAACACTCCTATGGTCTCTAGATATCCAGAGGTATAGGTGCTGGATTTCCCAGAACCCATGTTAGGAAATTGCACTTCTGTTCCCCTCTCTCCCTTGCAGGTGGAACAGATTTTAGGGAAAGTTCAGGTGGAAGGGGAGGAGAGTGGTACTGCATGTACTAGTGGCATCTCGGCCTTCTTTCCCCCGTGTCTGAAGCATCACAGTTAGACAGCCAACATTGTTTCACAGCTTGGAAGGAGAGCAGAACTGACTATTTCCTCCATGCTCCTGCCCACAAATCCTCCAAGCATCCTTGCAACCATCCCCATAGGATTGCACCCTATTTTATCAAAATTTGGCAAAATCCACATCATCAGACTATAACAAGGAACGACCCAAGCTTCATTTCACAATCCAAATCCAATTCTGCCGTCCAAACACAATTGCATTTCAATACCCAGATTGTGTTCGACTCTCATAAAGACACAAAGAGGGTATCAGTCACTGGAGAAGCAGAAACAGTTTGTCCACCATCTCTTAAATGGACATACTTAGTTAATCATCTCTGCAGCATTCCAAACTCAGTATTACCAACCGCCTCCCAAGTAGGAATCATATTGCTCCTCCAATTTCTGGCAACCTAATTTTGGCAGCAATCACTAGTTTCTGAAACCATCTCTTTCTGTATGGGCTCTGTCTGTTCATCTGAATAGCCAAGCAGGGCTGTCAGAGGAATATAAAACCTTGTAATGATTGTTCTTGCATAGGAAACTTCTCCCTAAAAACAATTAATTAAAATGTATTCACACCAAATATGCATAAAATTACATTTGTCATTTTAAATGCTCTTTTTTGAACTAGGTACAGGGCATGCTCCAGCAAAAATGAGCTTTCAGGCAGCTCCTAGCACTAACAACAAAAGAGGCACTCTTTCCTTCCTTAATGGGTTTTTGTAGCATATTATCAAACAATTAAGCACTTTTAAAGTGGGCAAGCCAGTCTGCAGAAGGTAGGCTAGGGGGAAAAACCCTTTCCAGATGGAGAAGTAAAATTTAGCTTTCTAAATATTTCTGGCTCCCCCATTTTGTTACCTAGAAAAGAGTTAAGTACTATGATCTCTAAATGTCCCTTAAGTAGGTACGTAAGTAGGGAAGGCCTACCCAAGCTAGGGAAGCCCGTTGTCCTTCTTGACAGCCTACTCTACCCAATTCCTAATGTTATTAAAAATGGCTCCCCTGGCACAGGCCATCCCTGAATTCTATCCCTGACTAGGGAAACCAACAATAGACTCTTGCAGTGTTTCCTCAAACTGTAATAAAACAGGCTCAGGTTCCACCAGCCAGGTCACCCTCTAGCTTAGTATGAACAAGACTCAAACAGCCCATTCCCTGGTTTTCCAACTGATGTGCAACTTTCTATTGTGCATGAAGCCGTGATGCATGCTCAGTCTTCACAGGGACATTGTGTGGGGCTGTTTGCCCCCCTGGCGGTATTAAACCATGTTTTCTGTATTTCTTGGGATTCATCAGAGAATGCTGATATTTCCCTTTTATGGCCATATTCTGCCTCCCATCCTGTCGGCACTCAGTCTGTTGAGTTCACAATTAAGAGGGAATAGTGTTAGCCACAATAAGCAAAATGGAACACTCCCTTAAGCACTCACTAAGTGCCCTACTTCCTGTCAGCTAGGAGAATATCCACTGGGAAGTGGCAAAAGAATGAGAGCCGACAGGAAAGGTCATGGAGTGAGTTCCCACAACCTGGCACGACACCTTGCTGGGTTACCATGGCTTGCATTTTTTTCACCATGATCTACCCGATGATCAAATGGCTTCTACTTTATTGTGGTTTCCACCATCCCTCCTCAGTTCTCCAATTGTTGCCATGTATCCCATTATCCACAGTGCCTAAAATTCAGTCCCAGGGTACAATATTCCCTGCCTATGCCACCTGCCTCTTCCTCCTCAGTCCACACATAGAGGCTGAGTGGCCAGAGTGGCTCCTCCTTTTTTTCCAGAGGACTCCGTGGTGGTTGCATACCATGACTGTGGAAACCACAACCCTGAGTGCAGGCAACATTACAAGCCATGATGGTGCAGAGAAGCCATAGAACAAATCATTGTTTCTTATCATGGTATCTAAAGACTAAACTTACCATGGTGAAATACCATGACTGAGTTCGGACATGATGACAAACCAACAATGGTAAAAAACCACCATGGCTTGTTGTGTTGTCTGAATCCTGTCATGATGCAGATCAGCTTCAGCAGCTAATGACTCTTGTGTTTGGACACTGTGAAAGGCCTAGGTCAGCCTTCCCCAATCTAGCTCTTGGCACATTTTGTATGATAACTTCCAACATGGCTAGAGCTGATGGTAGTTGTAGCCCAAAACATCTAGAGGACCCCAGGTTACAGAGGGTTGAATCAGTAGTTGAACCTGATATAAATGTGTGTATCTCTGGGTGTGTGTTTTAACCTTGTGCTCATCCTTACTCCTTGAATTTTTTTTAAATCTATGCCATTCAAGAAAGGCAAACAAAACATTGTTTCTTTAAATATATCTTATACTTGTTGCAAGTTTTACATGCTAGCATGTGTCCACTTCACCACTGAATAAATCAAGCATTAGCTGACAGCCAACTGTGACCTCCATCCCCTGCAAGCTAATTGTTGAATTTTAATTTAACTTTTGACTAAACTACAGGAAGTCCCCCAGCTAGAAGTCCAGCGAAAGAGGTTGGGTTCTCCTGAGGTTTTAGCAGCTTGGAAGACTTCGTCAATTGCTTGTTATTGTTTTCTGGAGAGGATTAATGAGTGTGTGTGATTTGTAAAATGCAAACAGGAGGTGGTCTTCGCTTCCTGCACTGGCACATCTTCTGCTTATGTGAGATATTTATGTCCTATTTGCACTCTTCCTTGGAGCTGACAATCTAGTTCAGGGAGGGCAACCACTGCCTTCCTATGTTTGGGGGTAAAACTACCACCAGCTCCAACCCACACTGCCAATGGTCAGGGATAATGGGAGTTGCGATCCAAAACTATGGTGTTCACTAGCACAAGATACAGGGAGGGTCATCTTCATGGATGGGATTAACAACCACTGGGATTGTTGAGTTTGGAAAAAAGGCAAGAAAGGGGAGACATGATAGAGGTGTTTCAAATTATGCATGCGGCAGAGAAAGTGGAGAGCGAGACTGTGGAGGTAGAGCCCAAGGGCAACCCATGAAGATGATGGGTGGGAGATTCCGGACATATTCTTTTTGGCATCACATTAAAACCTTTTTATTTAAATAGCATTTTAAAAGTTAGTATTTTAATGGTTTTTAACCATAGCTTTTGATTTATTTGATTTGATTGATCTATTTTTATTGATTATTTGTTGTTTTATGTATTGTTTATGTATTGTTTTTATTGAGATGTGTATTATTTGATTGTTATTCATATTGATATTTTTGTAAGCCGTCCTGAAGCTCCGGCAAAGGATGGCATATAAATGTTTTAATGAATAAATGAAAAGAAGCACTTCTTCATGCAGCGCATAGTTGAACTGTGGAATTCACTGCCATGGGGCACAGTGATGGCCACCAATTCTGATGGCTTTGAAAAGGGGATCGGCCAGATTCATGCGGGAGAAGGCTCTCCCATCCTGCCTGAGGGATCCTGTGGGCATCTGGTTTGCCGCCACGTGGATGGAGTGCTGGATTGGATGGACCATTCATGGAATCCAATGTGGCTTTTCTTATGTTTGCTGCCACAGAGCTGTAGCCCTTCCCTGGAAATTGACAAGAAGTCAACACTAGTAACCAATGTAAGACTTTCAAAACAGCTGCAGCTGGGAAGTGCTTAAGCTAATTAGTTCACAGGTGAGTTGGCTTTCAGAGATTTTGTTGCTGAAGAGGCGATTGCTTTGATTTCCTAGAGCAATTTCAGATTCTGGAGGCCCACCAGGCAGGGCTCAAGAAGTGGTGCACGGAGCAACGCGGCACTGCAGGGCAAAAATGTCTGATTACGTAGCTCATTTTCAGCAGCAGAACTGGAGCTCACAGAAAACTTTTTGCACATAGAGTGAATGTTTCTCCTGTAGCTTTCTTGGTTACAGAAGCCTGATGTGGGGTACAGGAAGGCTTTTTTGGGTCATTGTTACTGTTGAGCCATTAGGGGTTGTGACCCCTTGCTGACCAGTGCTCGTCATCTAGAGATCTACCAACAGATCTTGATCTATTTTCTGCTCAAGAAGTCACAGCCGTTCAGATCGGTGGTTCTTCTATGTTTGTTTGCATCGGCATTGCCCACCTGGCACTTAATCCCATTCTGTGCTCCTCCAGCCCCTTCCATCACCACGGGGTGGAATTTACCTACCTTGCAAGCCCTCAAGATGGAAAGTTCGGTGTTCCACCACGCCACAGCTCTGATAAGGCCCATGCCTGAGGGTCACCAGTGCATTCTTTGGCATGACTGTACCAGACTGCCACACCCTCTACCAAGGGTGACCAAAGGAGGGAACAGTCCTTGGAAGGCTCCAAAGGGGGGAAAGAAGCCACCTAAGCTCTGCCTTACAGGGAAGTGTGAGCGGTGCCAAGATACTTTCTCAGTCTCTGCTGGAGACAGGCTAGCACCACGTCTGCTCTCCAGCAGCCTGCCATTGGGTCAGTTGCATCTCCCGCAGTCGCCATGGTGAGGCTGGAGGTTCCGTCTCTTGGGGCTGTGATATCACAAAGAACTGTTGAGGACCAGTGCTGACAGTTTTAAAGAGAAGAGGCAGGTTCTGGAGGACAGGCAGGATGCACTTACAGGTGTGGTAAGACAATCTGCCTATGGTCAGGCAGAAGGCAACCCCCTGGCCCTTCAGGTGCAGAGAGCAGATTTTGAGGCCAGCCCCGGCACACTCCAGATAGTGAGGTGAGCTTCGCTGAGCCGCAGGGTTCAGATTCATCATCCGTTCTAAGCAGGGTCAGTGGTGTGCCTTGGCCAGGATGCGTGGAGCTGCTGCGCAGGGCCTGCATGGTTGGCAGGGCTGCCAACACCCCCTGCCCATCACCTACATTCGCTCTGAGTGTAGCTGCAATGCTCTCTGTAGCTGGAAGGAGTCCGCTTATCTCCTTGGCGGCAGAAGATCTTAGGACAGTAGCCCAAAGCTGTGTGGGGAGATACTCTTTCCATTTCTCACAGGGACTTGGACCTCCTTGGCTAAAGGCCAGCAGGTGATTCACTGCACTCTCTTGTCAGCTCACTCTTCTTACACTGCCAAGAGTTCCTTATGGGATCCTGCTAACTTCTGCTGCTTCTGGGTGTGTTTGCACACGCACGTGCATGCACACGCACACACATAGTTGCACTATGGAGACTATCGTGGTAAGTGCATGTACTTCAAAAGTTATTGCCACACCTCTGGTCAGGCGGGAGCGATGAAACTTATGAAACTGACATTGGGTGGGTCTTGTTGTTTCTTGCTGCCCTTCCAGGAACAATGACTGGGTTCAAATGTCATGGCCAGCAATCCTGCATGGTTTCCATGGTGCACCGTTTTTGCCTGGATGATTAAGTGGGTTCTACTAGTGTGGTTTCCACCCTTGTTGCTTGGTCCACATGTTGTTGGCACATATCCCATCAACCACCATGCCTGAAATTGAACTCCATGTTGGATAGCTGGAGCAGCTACTGCTCTTTCTAGGGGGCTCTGTGGTAGCACTGTGGTTTCCACAGATGACCAGAAAAACCATGACGAAGCATGGAAACCATAGACAAGACCTTTCTTATTATGGTTTCTGAGACCCAAACTTTCCATGCTGGAATATCATGGCAGACCATTCTTTGCAAGAAACCACTTGGGATTGTCAAGTTGAATGTGTGTTGCTGCTGGATCACAGGTTAGCCTGATGTCCGAATCCAGCTGTGCTAACAAGCCATGCTTTGTCAACCCTTGAAAAGAACCTGTGGTTTCCTGCTGGGTTGTGAACTGTTGGACTGTTCACCATGGTTTGTTATTACAAACAAGCACACTCAATTCACACTCAGAGCTTGACTGTGGCTTATTGTGCTGTCTGAACGGATTCATTCTTTCCCATCTATTCTCCAGGGCATGGGAGCAGAGAACATCCTGCTTCCAGGGAGCATAGCCAATGGGCATTTGTGGGGCCCTCAATCCTGCTCTGCAATTTCTCCTTCAGAAGTCTAATAGTTCATGTGTTGTGCTTCCAATGCATTAATCTTGCAAACAGAGGAAAGGGAGCAATGGAGAAGGATGCCTTTCAGACTAGAGAAGGTGCTTTTTCTTCACCAAAGCATCTGCAAATAACTTCCAGACAGTCTTGATGTATTTCTGTGAATTAATGTGGCTTTGGCCATTTAACTAGGTGGCGCTAAGAAATTACCTATTGGCAATGTTCCCCTGTTGTCACATTTTAATGAGAGAGGTTAAGAGAGAGTGGAACTATTCAGTGTAGAAAAAGCGGGAGGAAGGGGAGATATGATAGAGGTGTTTAAAATAATGCATGGTGTGGAGGAATTGGAGAAGGAGAGATTTTTTTTCTCCCTCTCCCATAACACTCAAACCTGGGATCATTCCTGGAGGCAGACTAGTGGGTGATTTAGGACAGATAAAAGGAAGTACAACTGTACACAGTGTGTAATTAAGCTATGACATTCATTGCTGTGGGAACTGGTGATGGCTGCCAATCTGGATGACTTTAAAAACGGATTGGGCAGATTCATGAGGGAGGAGGCTATCAGTGGCTACCTACCTTGCTGGCTGTGTGTTCCCAGAGGTGGCATGCCTGCATGTACCAGTTGCTGAGGAGCTTGGGCAGGTGGAGGACTTGAACTCATCCTGCTTGAGCAATCCTGCAAGCAGTTGGCTTGCCACCATGTGTACAGAGTGCTGGACTAGATGGACCTTTGGTTTGATCCAGCATGGCTGTTCTTGTACGTTCTTTTCTGGACCAGTTTTCCTAAAATAAACAGCTTTGTAGCTCAGGGACAAATACTTGTGGCCTCAGTCAATGTTTCATCAGACTGAATTATCTTGAATCTTACCAGCTTTTGCTTGGAGACCAACAACACTTGTGACACAGCAATGCTTGTGACAGATTTAAGGCTAGATATACTGCACCATGCTTTTGAGGTTTCCTTCTGCTTATGGCATTCGGCAGTGAATGGGAAAAGCCCCAAATGACTGGTAAAATTTTCCATGAAGGTGGCTGGAAATGAGCGAAACTAAAATGATGGAAGCCACAGGAATGGACCCAAGTCATGGTCCTTCCTCTTTCCATCTTTGCAATGTATATGCCCATACTGGCTCGCAAAAAGCTCAGCTTTGAGGAAATTTCAAAAAATAAAATAAAATAAAATAAAATAAAATAAAATAAAATAAAATAAAATATAAAGAACAAACATTGAATGTTTTGCTCAAAATAGAACCCAAGTATCTTTTCTTTGATATACTCTTTATTGACTTCAGATTCGTAAGTGTCATATTCTGAACTGATAACAGATTATAGTTCCCTTTGATATTGTTTATCAGAACAATTCATATACTTTGAAGCACAAAACATGTAGCTCAGACTAGACAAAGAGACTATAAATGCACCTTAGATTTGCCATAAATCTATACTATGGTATAAAAATAAAATATTGCTAAAATATTAACTTTAAATATAATGTAGCACATGGTATAAAAAGTTGGGCTATGTTGCCACTTTAACTTATATCAGTACTTCCATCAAAACAATTCACCTGAATCTGTCCAGGAGTAGAGGGGACTCCTATCTCCTATCACAATTTTTATTTTGTTTTTTTCTATGTTTGTGGAGGCAAATTAAATGTGACAGTAAATCGCTTTGTTACTTGAGTGTTTTTAACTTTTGTTAACCTCCCAGACGGCCTTGGCTATTGGGCGGCATGAAGATGAAAGAAAGAAAGAAAGAAAGAAAGAAAGAAAGAAAGAA